GAGGTCTCCCTCTCTGATGATGTAGCCATCAGCCGACGGTTTTGTCCCCAATTAACCGTCATGTTTGTTAAATGACAAAAGCGATTCATTAGGGTTCGCAATGCCTCCAGGTTCTATGCGTATGCCTCCATCATAATTGTGAGGTCGTCTGCGAAGAGGGAGTCATGTAATGTATGGACTCTCCGGAGGTCTCCCTCTCTGATGATGTAGCCATCAGCCCACGGTTTTCTGTCCCCAATTAACCGTCATGTTTGATAAATGACAAAAGCGATCTATTAGGGTTTGCAATGCCTCCAGGTTCTATGCGCAAGCCTCCATCATAATTGTGAGGTCGTCTGCGAAGAGGGAGCATATTGGGACCACCTCTTCGGGGATCCCTGCTATCCTAATCCTCTTGATGTCCTTGTGGTTTCGCAGATTAACTGGCTAGGCCTCCATTATGATTAAGAAGAGATAGAGAGCAATCGGGTCCCTTTGGTTAACCGACCTCTGGAGCGGGAACTTGGGGGCTATATTGCCATTGACTTGAACACTTGTAGTAGCGTTCTTATGGAGAATGCTTACCCATCGTTGAAAGGTCACCCCAAAATCCATCCTTTCCATGCATTTATCCAGGAATTGCCAGTCAAGGTGGTCATAGGTTTTTTCGAAATCTATGAAAATAATAGCCGCATTATGGCCGCACCTTCTAGACAAGTTAACCATTTCATTTAGCAGAAGAAATGTTTCTCTTGATGTTCCTGTTCCGTATGAAGCATGTCTGGGCTGGGTGGATAATGTCTTCTAGAACTCCAACCATACAGTTGCCCATGGTTTTTGCGAACATTTTATAATAGACGATTGTGAGAAGGGTGATGGGTCCGTAATTCTTAAGGGTCATCTTATCCCCTTTTCTGTACAGGAGTGCCCAAACCCCTTGTCCAATCACTTCTTCCATACATCCTTCCTTCCATACTCTCCTAATTGGGGAAAAAAAAACGACCCACCTAGAGGAGACATGGAATTCAACACGGCATTATGGTGACATTGGGTGTGACAAGGAGGAACAGGGAGTGGAAATTGAACCCCCATATCCGGATTGAACTACACCATGATCAAATAAGGCTACAAAATGCTTCCAAAAGGCAAAAGACTATGGAGTAGTCAATGGTTGATCACCTCGGTGACCCTGGTTGCAAATAAGACGGAAACACGGCGATCCAAATTGCTCAGACCAATGCATTGGCTGATCAAATCAAGACGAGAAAATATCCTCCACCTTCTCGTTAACTGCAGAGAATCTAACAAAAAGTGGACAAGAGTTATTGCCCTCTCAGACAAGTCCCCTCTAGTCCTGAACCTTTTCAATCCCTCTGGGCGAGCATCATGACATCATCTGTTTCCTGAAGAAAAAAAAAAAAAAACGGTCTTGTCCAACTATGTAGGCCCGAAAGGGTTGTGGTATGAAGTAATAAGGAAATTGACAATGTGGGTCATTTAAAAAAAAAAAAAAAAAAAAGGTTTGAATTCTTTTCCCGAATCGGGGCTTAAAAAGGAAATTCGAAAAAGGATTGTGCAAGGAATATAAGCGAGAGCAATATACGGAAAACCAATTTGCAAAATCACGTGGAAGTCTAGATAGTCATGTAACAAGAAGAGAGCTCAAATGCATTAAGATTTCATCCAAATAAGAGCAATACAATGAACTTGTGAGCCAATGTTTGAGCCCTCAGGCCACACCAAACACAGTATCCAATGTAGCTCCTCTCTGTTTGGCGCCCAACGTCCCGTCTACTCTACCCGTCCTGCCTATCCTACTTACGTTCATTCAACATACTCACTTCGACTTTGAAGACTAATGTACATGTCGTCAACACCAATATCGACATCCCACATACACCAGTTACGTACTCTCGTCTCCCTCATCACCCCCTGTCCACCCACTTCAGCGCCTCCTCCCAAAGACCCCCTGTCGCCCTCCTGCGCCCCACAGCCCGACTATGGCCGCTAACGCCCTGCTGTCCTGCAACGCCCCTCACCTTTCAGCGCCCTTGCGCGGCCCAACCAGCAATGTGCATGCAGACACTTTGCTTGTGAGCGCAACAGCGTATCCGCATTACCTGCCTAGGCCAAAATTCCCAGCTCTGGCCAGCCTCCTCCCTATATGGGAGAGGTTGATGCTGGACTGTGTGGGCTTGGCTGTGGAAGTTTCCAGTAGTTTCCGGTCGGGCCCCAGTGTTTGCGCCCAGGCCAACTTTGACAGTTACGGGTCTGGGCCCTTTTTAGTTGGGCACACCCAAAACTTTCCAGGCTTTGAATGTTGGCTGCATTTGCACTGGCCCACAAGGTAGATCAGACGACAATGTTGCTTTCTCGTTGGCCTGCGGCCACTTCGTGATGTGTTGGTCTCTAACGTGTGTGTCCATGGCACAATCACCCAGGCCCTGGGCTCAACTTCCCGGCTGTCTCAGACCGAAAAGGTGCATACCAGAAAGAAGAACCGACCTCACTCAGATAGAGTAATATAACACAACGGAAGACTATAATACCAATAATCAGACCAATCAATGTCGGTTTACAGACATGACAACATCATTATCACAAAGTGTGCAGGGTCTGGCTCCACACACAGGAAGAATGCGCCAGACTCGAATCATACACGGATGAGGAGGAGGGAGAAGAGACGAAGAAGAGGGGGAAGGGGAGAGAATGTCGCCAACCCTGATGTCGCCAATGTCGAAATAGTCCCCCACAATGTCTCGGTCCAAATGTGAAGTCTGAATCCAAATGTCGCCAACTCTCAGTGTCTCAAATCTCTCTCTCTCTTTCTCTCTCTCATAGTCTGATGGCACTGAGAAGAAAGAGTGTTGGAGGGTGAGGAGGAGGTGGTTAACGAGAGGAAGCAGAAAAGTCTCTCTCTCTCTCTCTCTCTCCCTCTCTCTCTCTCTCTCTCGTACCAGTTACTGACCTGCCTAAAAGTGGCGTCTTGATGCAGGTATGGACGTGCTGATGACGAAGCTGGAGCTATGGTGCCTTAGGTAAGTTTCAATTCAACTCTCCGGCTTCCGCGACTCCCCTCTCCCTAGCGCTACCCTGAATCCTAACAACGCCATGCACTAGAAGACTAACCCTATCATCGACTACAATAGCCACAACATCTTCCAAAGAGTGCTCCTACGAGTGTGTGAAGATTGAATGACGCCTCCTAGGCGGACCGGCTGTATATAGCATTGGTTCGGTTGGGAGGCTGCCCTCACCATGCCGAACGGCGCCAGTCCCTGGCGCCCAAAAGTCTGGCGCCTATGTGTGCCCCCAAATTCGAATCTTCGAATTTGAAGCAGTGCCTCAAGCAGCCTGGGCGCCTATTGGCCTATAATGGTCTGGCGCCAAAACGGCATCAGGGCCTACCTATGGCCTACCGACCTACGGAGCCTGCCTAGGCTGAAACGTCACAGGCCTAACGGGCCTCTACCTAAGCTGAACCGACACACGGCCTGAAGGGCCCCTACCTTACTCCTGTCCTGGCCAGTCGGGCCCTTCGGGGGCCTGTGTGGTTCTTAGTATGCCCCCCCCCCCCCCTTCTTGAAAGACCGAGCTTACCTACGAGGGTGGAGCCGTCTGTCGGAGGGAGGGACCGAAGTATGAGTGGGAGGGGCAGGTCGTGAAGCTTCCTTGGCTTGTCTTTGTCAGTCGTAGTGAGAGTAGATCTGTGGTGTGGATGCTTGCAAATCTGCTTGTAAAATCCACCGGGTGTCGTAACGGTCGAATGCTTTGAATGTAACTTTGTACTGTCGAGGCTTGTTGATGTACTTGCGATCCGTGATGACGCGGTCGACTTCCTGATGACCATTCATAAGAAGAGGGTCTTGCGATCGTCGGTTCGGAAAATCGTCGCTCTTAGCCGGTGTACATGTAGTCAGCTTGGAGGCGTGGAAAACCGTGTGGACCAGTAGATGTGGTGTAATCTCAACCACAAATAAAGGGGCATCTGGCTCATCACCCGCGGTTGATGCTAGGGTCCAAGGTCCAAACCAGTTGGAGAGTAGCTTGAGCGAGATGTTGCAGTGTGACTGGAAAAAAAAAAAAAAAAAAAAAAAAAAAAAAAAAAAAAAAAAAAAAAAAAAAAAAAAAAAAAAAAAAAAACAGCAGCTCATCGACCCCAATACAAGGGCGACGACTCTCTTCATACGCGGATGACCATCCATGATGGCGCGGTTGACTTCCTGATGACCATTCATAGGCTCCAGTCTTGCGATCGTCGGTCCGGGAAATCGTCGCTCTTAGCCGGTGTATATGTAGCCAGCTTGGAGGCGTGGAAAACCGTGTGGACCGGTAGATGAGGAGGAATCTCGACCTCAAATGAGGGGCCATCAGGCTCATTGCCCGCAGTTGATGCTAGGGTCCAAGGTCCAAACTAATTGGAGAGTAACTTGAGCGAGATGTTTAAGTGTGAAGTCAAATTGGTACATGAAGTACATCCATTGTCCGGTAGTGTTGCTCGCTGTGTCTTGCATCTTGTAGTAGGTCAACGGGTTGTTGTCGGTGACCCATGTGGCCCAAGGAGGAAGTGCCACCATCGCTTGAGAGCCATCACGAACGCGACCAGCTCCTTCCTTGGGTTATCAAGCGAGTTCATGGAAGGCACCTTGTGGCTAAAATACTCCACGGGGTGCCAATCGTCGCCGTCATGTAGTTCCAAGACTGCCCCAATGCCATAGCCGCAAGCGTTGGTTGTCACTCTCGTTGGCAAGGTGGGGTCGTAGATGCCAAGGACGGGTGCCATCAGCATGGCCGTCTTGAGTGCTTGGAACAACCGGCGTGCTTCATCGTCAAATACAAATGGCAGCTTTGGCGATTGTAATCTCGTCAATGGCGCAACAATCCTTGAGTACCCGGTGATGAAACGTTGGTAGTAGCCCGCCAAACCCATGAACGAGTGAACGTGTGTGGTGTTGGTGGGCACAGGTCATACCTGGATGCCCTGCGGCGTCACAAAATGGCCCAAGTACTCGAGCTCTTGCCGCGTGAATTCACATTTGTTGCGGTTGGCCTTGTTCTTGGCTTGTTGTAGCCGCTCCAAGACATTTCATAGGTGGTCCACATGCTCGTCCAAGCTCCGACTGTACACCAAGATATCGTCGAGGTAGATGAGCATGAACCTGTCCAGCATGTGGCGAAACTCCGTTGTCACAGGCGCTTGGAATGTGGTCGGGGCATTCATAAGGCTAAAAGGCATAACCAACCATTTGAAATGCCCATATCGCGTCTTAAACGCAGTCTTCTAACGATCCTCCCTTTGGATCTCAATTTGGTAATATCCCGATTTGAGGTCGAGCTTGGAGAAGACTTGGGCGCTGCCCAACCGTTCGAGAAGGTAGTCGATTCGTGGAAGAGGGTTGGCGTTCTTGACGGTTTGTGCGTTCAACTTGCAATAGTCAATGCACAACCGCAAGTCCTTGTTCTTCTTCGGGAATGGGGACGTTGTAGGGCGAAGAGCTAGGCCGAATCCAGCCTTTCTCAAAAAGATCGTTGAGTTGTGCTCGTAGCACACTTAACTCTTCTTCACTCATGCGGTAGATGCAACCATGCAGAGGTAGGACCCCAACCTCTTTGATAATCTCGTGGCAGATTGGCCGATCCGGTACTATTTCGTGCGGGGTATCGAAAATGTCGTTGTAGGCGTCGAGAAACTTGGTGATGCGTGGGTCCGTTGATGCGTCCGTCGATGGTTTGTCAAAGGGAGGGAAGGCATGAAGAGAACATAAGCCCATCTCCTCGACGTCATCCTGTGTGATGGAAGTGTGAAAGCTCGCGACGGACACCGCATGACAGCTGATCGAAGGGTGAGGTGGAGGAACTGTGTATGTGACTAGTACCCTGTTCGGATCCCGGATGTGAACGGTATGGTGGTAGAAGTTCACCGGGTGGTTTTCGCTTTGCAGCCACGACATGCCCAAAATCATGTCGAACTTGGTGTCCAGTATGTCGAAGGACACGGTCTCGCCTGCGTGTGGGGTGACGTACACGGGGACGAAATCAATGCACCGATCGATCGACTTGTGCGTGTGACCGTTGACCAACGTGATTTACGTGGGCTGTGACTTTCTCCGAACGCGTAACCCATGACCAACGTCTATCATGAAATTTTAGCTCATATAGTTGCGAATAATGTCGTACCGTTGTGTCTTGAACTCGCGGTCGATCTTCGCAAGGTTGTCACGAACGTCGACAACCTCTACTCCGACGTCTATCAACAGAGCTGGTACTGCAATGTGCAAGTACTCCCGCAATTGTGCCATGAGCGTGTTGCAATGTGGTTTCGACAATCGACTTGTCGGGGGAAGGGGCATCCATTGGAAGTCCACGATCGTCAACGGGTCGAGTTCCTCAAGTCTTGACGATGACATCGAGTGCCCGACGAAAGTTGGTGACGAAGCTGTCGAATCGGTTGCCAATGGTGATGAAATTGTGCATGTGGTGGAGTCTTGCACATGGAGTGGTTGGTCCAACGGTGGGACCAGGTGGACAACGTAATCCTCGTTAGTAAATCGAGGACTTGCAACATCCACGTTCTCCTCGGATGTGTACGAGGCCACTAGCAAGGCGGCCGAATCCGGCGGCGTGAGAGGTGGAGTCATCTCACCTCCCGCGCGGCTCATTTTCCGGAGTTGGTTCAAGTTCGAACCTCCACCTTGCCTTGATCTTGGCATTGGTATGTCTTATGCTTGGTGTTGTTGCATTAATAGTAGCAGCCTTACCGGCTGCGCCACTTGTATTTGGTCTCGGTTAAGCTAAACTTGACCCATGGTACTGGCTGTCTGTTTCCAGCCGGGGATGCTGTTTTCGCTTTCCCTTTTCCACGAGATTTGTTATTGCTTCGCGGCTGGATGGCGGCCACTTGATCTCCCTCATGTGACGTTGGGGTGGCTGCCGGATCTTCCGTAAGGTTGTTCGGTTGGACTGCAGCGACGAGCTGTGGACACGGACCAAATTTTCCTTTCTCCATATATGTTGGCTGTGACGTGGTGTCGCGCGCGGCGGTCCCGCACCCTGTTGGGGAGCGCTGAACCTCACGGTCGTGTCACGTAGCATGTTTTTTTCAAAGTTTGAAAAAGAAATCGGTCACCGCTCCGACCGTGCGTGTGTACTATACCTCTCACGACACCCCACGACAGGTCAGGGTGCCGCGAGGTACAACTCACCTCTACCCGAGGGGATGTCACCACCCTCAGGTAGGCGTATCACTGTTGAGCTACTGACCCACATGCGAAGGCTTTTACATGCCTTTGTAAAGGTAGGTCGGTCGAGGGCATTTTCTCGATCATCGTAGCATAGGTATACGCACGGTTGAACGCTTAAGACTGACCCGTTTATGTGTCGGGGATCGGGGCACTGACCTCCCGGACCGACTCACTATTCCGGTTGACTTGACCTCCAAACTTTCGTGCATACAAGTGTTCTAGCCTATTCGTACTTGACCAAGTATATACGCTGTTTAAGTTTTCTCAAATCAATACATACATAAATAATACAGTTCAAAGGTTGATACTGAAAGGCAAGGAGATGTCTTTACATTTCACATGACAAAGGCAAACATTAGGATGAACAAAGCTGAACTTTTAGAAGAGAAAACAATCAATCGACTCTTGGCCTTTTTTTTTTAAAGACCACGAGCCTGTTCTTTTACTTTTGATGCATGTTTTGGAAGGCCATGAGCTTACTTTTGGCCTTTGCCAATTATCCTAATCTATTCAACATCAAGGAGTAAAAGTCGGAATCCAAACCAAATGCACACAGGTGAGGTGTCGACGAAAATGTCTAAGTCGAGGCTCAAGTAAGCATAGGTTCAGCAATGCGAGTAGAGTGAATAGCACGTGGTTGGTCGTTTTACTGACTTGCAGACAAAACAGAAGCATTTCACAATCCTAACAGAGTCAACCATTCATTCACTTTCACTCACATTACACCTACGTTTCCAAACCTTTCAACCAGACATTCTCTTTTCGACTTAGTCATTTCGAGGACCTCTTCTGATGAAAAGTGTGAGAGTCAAGTGTGAGTGAGGGTTGAGTTGGCGAACCAACCTGTTACCATAAGGCAACAACATTCTGTCTTGTACAGACTCATAACGAGTCTCCTTGATTAAAATGACCTGCAAATATACAAAGGTCACAAAATTTCAACACCTCCCTCACTATCGCCCTATACGAAGTCCAGCGATGTGAACTTCAATTTTATCGGTGGACAATAATATAGTCCGATCAAATGTAAGTATGAAGTAAGAAGACACCGACAAAAACCTTCATCTCACACTTACTCAAGCAGTAGGACAACTCAGACATGAGTACCCTACCACTTGTTTTAGTCTAACTGGTTTAGACTTAGACAGACCATGGGATGACCCGCACAGGAGTACCCAATCTTCTAGTCAGTCAACCTAACTATCTAATACATGTATGTGTGTACAGACGAGTAATAAGATGTTCCTCACATATGAGCCTTATCCTATCACTCGTTCTGTACCAATCTTTCATATCCATACATTTATCAAATATAAAGTAGTTGAGGGTAGTGCAAAGAAGGGTTTACAGGATGAGAATGAGAAAAAACCTAGCTTGTCTTCTTTGTTTTTCGCGTTTTTATTCTTCTTCCTCATTTTCCTCATCCCTTCCCCTTACCCTTTTCTTCATTCTTTTTTCTGCCTTCTTCCTTTTTTTTTTTTTTTCTACCTTTTCCTTTCACCTTCATGTCCTCATGTCTAAACGACCTCGCGTGCACTTAGACTTGCTTCAGGCCAGCATGTGTGAACCCAGACAATGGTTCTAGCTAGGCATGGGGTTCATATGCACATGTTTGATCGTGCTAGCGATCCTATCAGAACAAGTGATAATAGTCATCGAGAATAGTACTGATAATAACAATAAAAGCAATAATTAATAATAATAATAATAACGATAATAATAATAATAATAATAATAATAATAATAATAATAATAATAATAATAATAATAATAATAATAATAATCGTGTTGAAGTCCACAGTCATGTAACGAGTAGAGAACTCAAATGCACCAAAATTTCATCCAAAATAAAAGTGATATAGTGGCCTCGTGAATCAATGTCCAATCCCTCAGGCCACATCAATGCAGTATTCAATATCCCTCCTACTGTCTGGTGTCAGTATCTCGCCTACTCTACTCATCCTACCTATCCTACCTATATTCTTGCAGCCGGCTCACTTCGACTTCGAAGATCAAAGTTCATGAAGTCGACACCAATGTCGTCCTCTCACATACACCAGGTACGTACTCTCAACTCCCCTAATCACCCTTCCTAATTCGCACTGCTCCTTCTTCCTCAAGAACATCACCGCTCATCACCCCCTCGCTGCTTGCAATCCGACTATGGTTGCTAGCGCCCTGCTATCCTGTTGTACCCCACACTACTCAGTGTCTACGAGCGCACCCCAACCTGCAATAGCGTATGCAGACACTTGAGCGCATTTGCAGCAGCGTGTCCGCTTTGCCTGTCTAGGCTAGAATGCCCTGGACCGGCTGACCTCACCCCTATATGGGAGGTGCTGCCCGCCCGCCGCTGCTGGACCGTTTGGGCCTGATCGTGGACATTGTCAGTGGCTTCCGGTCAGGCCCCAGTGTCTACGCCCAAACCCATGTCTACTGTTGAGGGCCCGGGCCCTGTCCAGTTGGGCGCACCCAAGGTTATTCGGGCCCTGAATGTCTGTTGCGTTTGTATTGGTCTGCGAAGCAGATCTGATGACAATGTTGCAATCTTATTTGGCTCGTGGCCACTTCCTGATGTGTCGACCCTACACTGTGTGGGGCAAGGGCGCGGCATCCCATGTCCCGGGCTCAACTGTACAACGCAACCCCTTTTGTTTTTCAAAAGAGCCTGGAGGCTCATGTTGCTATGTAACTTGGAGGCTTGCTGCAACTGCCTGAGTACCCACATATGGAAAATTGTAGGGAACAAGCATCACGTGGATATTCAGGTCCGCCTTCACTTAAGGCAGGCATGAGGCTTGATGCGTCCACAACCTACTGTTGTACTAGTAGTACTACTTAATAATAATAATAATAAACTTAATAATAATAATAATAAACTTAATAATAATAATAATAATAATAATAATGCAGGGAACATAGATGAAAACGAAATGCAGAAAGCCAAGTTGCGGAATCACACAGATGTCCAAGTAGTAACGTACAAACAGAGAGCACAGATGCACCGAGATTCCATCCAAAATAGTAGCAATACAATGAACTCGTGAGCCTATGTTCAAACCCTTAGGCCACACCAAAGTAGTATCCAATGTTGCTCTTCTCTGTCTGGCGCCCAGCGCCCAGCCTACACGATTCACGTACCTTACTATAGCCACATACACACAACATGCTTACTTAGGCTTTGGAGACCGAATGTACATGATGCCTACACCATAGCCGACCTCTCACGTAAACCAAATAAGCATCTTTCTCCTCTTTCTCTTTATCTCTCTTTCTCTGTCTCTCTCTCTCTCTGTGTCACTGTGAATCTGTATCACTGTGCATGTGTCACTGTGTATCCGAGTCACTGTGTATGTGTATATCACTGTGTCTCTGCATATCCGTTATTTGTGTATGTCTGTTGTCTCTGTGCATGTACTATGACTGCATGTATCATAGTACCTGCGTACGTCACTGTGATTGTGTGTGTCAAAGTATCTGTGTACGTAGATGTGACTGTGTGTGTCACAATATCTGTGTATGTCTGTTGTGTGTGCGTATCACTGTATCTGTGTTGGTTTGTCTGTCTCTGTTTGTCTGTCTTTATTTGTCCGTCTGTCTGTCTGTATGTCTGTCTTTTTGTGCACACCGCGTCTTTCCGATTCCATTTTATACCATGTACTCAATTTTCCAATCCTTGGCGCAACAACATCAACACCCTCATGCCCGTTTTCTGCCCCCGATATCGCATGTTCATTTATACTACACAAGCCAATGCTTGTTTCTCTCTCGCTTTCTGAAGTCCTTCGTCTCCCTTTTTGTTCGTGGCGTTCCCCCTCTTCTACCTCGCGTTCTCCCTCCAGGTTTTAACAACTGTACATCATAGCCATGATTAAAACACGATAATAATAATAATAATAATAATAATAATAATAATAATAATAATAATAATAATAATAATAATAAATAAAAATAATAGTAAAAATAATAATAATAATAATAATAATAATAATAATAATAATAATAATAATAATAAAAATAAAAATAAAAATAAAAATAATAGTAAAAAAAAAAAAAAAAATAATAATAATAATAATAAAAATAATATAGTAATGGTGATCAATAGCGAATTGACAGATTTCATATTGCAAAAATCAAATTGAAAGCCCAGAAGTTCTACCCTGTCCAGAAAGCAGCATCGCACCGATGTAGCACCAAAGGGGAACCAAAGTATTGTATCCGAACGTTAATGATCATACTTTCGTAATCACCAACATAAGTATCCAAGGCCCTTCCTTCTACGTGGTGTTTAGCGCCCAGCCTGCTATCACGCAACGACTACCAGTCTACGAATTGACAATGCAATTGTCGACGTCAACAACTGAATCGAAGTACTTGAAGATGTCGACCTATGCAGACCATTCCCAATACCAGGTATGCGCCCTCACATCCTCATCCGCATTTCTCTCTCTTTTCTCTCTCTCTCTCTCTCTCTCTCTCTCTCTCTCTCTCTTTCTCGCACACACCCACCCACCCACACATACGTA